ATGCCTTCAAAATTGCCTGTTAAAAATTAAACCACAGCCAGCTATGATGGTGTATATCTTTAATGTCAGTTCTTGGGAGGCAAAGGCAGGTAAATCTCTTTGAGCTTGAGGTCAACCTGGTTCACATAGCAAGTTACAAGCTAGTCAGGCCTACATAGTCCCTGTCTCAAAAACACAACAAAACGACAAAAAAATTAACCTACAAAACCAATAATCAAGAATGCTTGTTGGCCAGGCATGGTGGCGCACGCCTTTAATCCCAGCACTTGGGAGGCAGAGGCAGGCAGATCTTTGTGAGTTCGAGGCTAGCCTGGTCTACATAGTGAGTTCCAGGGCAGCTGGGGCTACAGGGAGCCCTGTCTCAAAAAAAAAAAAAAAAAAAAAAAAAGACTGCTTGTCTAACATGCTCAAGTCTTGGATTTGATTTCCAACACTGCAAAAACAAAAGAAAACAAACCAAAACAGAACAATGTATATCAAAGCACATGTTTTTGACCACTGTCAAAAGTAAATACATAAATTACAAGAGTAGCATTACATTTCTAAGACAGCTAAAAGACAGTTAAAGAAACATCCACTGACCAAGTCAAGTGACAGAATAAAAGCAGCTAACTGATTTGAATTTACAGAATCCGTACATTTAGACAATTGTTACTGAGATTCCCTCTCTAATCTAGCACAATCATCCAATATAGCACACCTCTTATTGCATACCAAAAGTTGTTGCATACATTAAAAAAATGGCCTTAATAAACATTTTCTTGGAAAGTTTAATGAGACAAGCAATATACATTATTTTTTAGAAGTCAAATACAAAAAGTATAAGAACCATTCATAAATCCTCTATCAAAAATAACTACTGGCAAGGATATCAGTTGTACAAGTGTCTTAGGTATATATACACATACATGCATATAAATACATATGTGCATTACTCAAAAACATAGATATTCGGATATTTTTGTACATGCTCCTTTTTTGAAAAAACAAAAAACAGGGTAATAACATTTATGCTTGATTTACTATTTATACCTTGCCTTGAATATATTACATTGTGCTAATAAATGTTTATCATTTTTAAAGTTTATACAGTGTATAATTATGTTTAAACAATCTCATCTCATACTTAGGTTGTTGTCAATTTCTCAATGGCAAAACATCCTGATACAATATCCTATTCATCTATCTTTTCTAGTCTTCCTTCATTTACCCTAGAAGGAATGTCAGATAGGCTATATTATTTAAAAACTTAAGGTGAAGCTGGGTGTGGTGGTGAATACCCATAATTGCACCTCTCAGGAAGCTGAGACAGGAGGATTAAGGATTAAGACCAGTCTGGGCTATATGCATCAAGAACACATTTTTGTTGGGTCTGAGGTTCGGGAATGATTGGAGACCACCCACCAAAATTCAAAATTTAGAACATTTTATTGAAAAGCACTGCAATTCTTGAACAACCAGTCCAGCACAGACTCCAGGAAAGAAAGAATGTAGTCTGGCCCCAACCAACAATGAGCGGGGGTTTTTATTGGGTACTCTTGAAAAAGTCTGCACAAACTGGGCAAACTTTGAATTGCTTGGACAACTCTGAATTCATTGGTTACAGTCATGGTCAGCCGCCTGGAATGTCTCAATTTTTCCTTTTATGGTAGGGTGCCCCTATCGGCTTCTGGATGCCCTTTTATGGTCAGGAATTTTGGTTAGTTTCTGTTAGACTCAGATAAGTAAGACATGTCCAAGCTTGCCTAGTCTTACCCCACAGTATGGGGCAAAGGAAACTTACAGTTTCTAGGAACAGAGATTTAAGACTGACAAGACGGAGGCTGCTAAAAACTGGAGCCAGTGTGACCTGGGTCCTTCAATTTTGATACAACCTTCTCTTTCAGAAAGACTAATATATACCTCCACTAGCAATGTATCAGTTCTAATTATTCCACATGTTCACAAACCATCTCTCTCAATGAATAACATTGATTTTCTTGGAGCCATTCAAAATTAGATGGTTTACATTCTTTTGCCCTTAATGCACCCTTCAGTGCAGCTCATAGAACCACAATATAATTAGCAAATTCAAGAAACTTAATTTTTTAAATTATATTTATTTTATTTTATGTGTATGAGTGTGTTGTCTGCATGTAAGTGTACCTGTGCCATGTAATGCCTGCAGAGGTTAGAACAGAACATCAGATCTCCTGGAACTGGAGTTAGACAGTTGTTAGCTGCCATGTATGTGCTGGGAATTGAACCTAGATCCTCTGCAAGAGCAGCCAGTGTTCTTAACTGCTGAGCTATCTCTCTAGCCCCCAAAACTTAATTTTGGCACAACACAGTTCAAATTCCAGTTTTGACCATTACTTCAATGATGTTTACCTGGTTTAAATCTCTTCCTCAACTCTGTTTCAATGTTTTACGGATTGTAATATCAGTAGCTGAAAACCTGAAATGAAATAAAGAAATTACCTTACCTTCTCACATACAAAAGAGATAAATATAAAACAATGTATAAAACTTTAATAAAAAATACCCTTTATTAATATTTCCTATAACGTGCTCCTTGAAATTTTGGTTTTTATTTTTTTTTTGAGGCAGAGTCTCACTGTGCAGCTTGGGCTGGCCTCAAATTCATGGTTTGCCTGTCTCAGTCCCGCAAGTACTGGGATTATAGGCCTGTGCCCCCATACTCAGCAATATTAACTGCTCTGAGCAACGCAAGGAGCACTCCACAAATGCAAGCATTAAAATGATGAAAACATTTTCACAAAAGCTTTGTTACTCGTTAATAAACACATCAAACAACAAACAGATCTAAAGCCAGAACACCAAGTGATCAACTTTTAAAAAATCATTTATAGTGTAAGAATTAGATCACTACTATCTATGAAGTAGTTTTGAAGGGGAGGGGGTCCTTCACCAAGCTTCAGATCTTTCAATTCACGGAAAATTCAAAGACCAGAGTAACAAGATAGCAAATGTCACACTAGAGCAGGAGTTCTAATATTCTGTCTACACAATTATGAGTCTTGAATTCAAGTCAAAGTAAGGTAGGAAAAAAGGATTTAGATTAAGAAATACTAAAAGGATCAATATGGAGTTGGGCGTGGTGGTACATGCCTGTAGTCCCAGCACTCAGGAGGCAGAAGCAGGCGGATCTCTGTGAGTTCAAGGCCAGCCTGGTCTACATAGTGAGTTCTAGGACAGCTGGGGCTACAGAGAGACGCTGCTTCAAAAAGACAAAAAAAAATCAATATGGAAAAATATCAAATACATTTTAAAAATCAAGTTTGAGGCTAACCTGAAATCTAAACATGTGCTAGTATTATAAAATACTAATTTGTTAGTATATATACATTGCTGAATTTTGTGGAGATAATGGTACTAAAGCTATAGACGTGTTCTTATTTAATTAATTAATTTAGTCATTGAGAAAGGGCCCCCACTGGAGTTCATACATTCTGTCATTTGTATTAAGGCCTATTATATAAAGTTAGCAACCCAAGATGTGCCTCAGTGCAAGTTCATCCACCAGGGTTTATTCAGTCTATCCAGAGTCTCTCTGTTCAAGAAGATCAGTTCTTCCTCACCCAGCAGTTATCAGCTGCCAATAATTCTTTGACTAAGATTGGGGCTTGCCATTCATTTCCACAGTTCTGTGCTAGGTTTTTGTCTGTCTAAGTTTGCATGGGTCTTGTGCATGTTGACACCATTACTGTTGGTTTGTATAAGGAGGGTCCCAGGCACCTGTAGGACTATTTCTGTATGGTCATGCATGTCCTCTCTGGCTCTTACAATCTTTCCACCCCCTCTTCCACAATAGCCCCTGAGCCCTTGGTGGGTGGACCTCAATATAGGAGTCCTGTCCAAGGACCCACATTCTGCTGGCTCTTATCCTCTGTGTTTTGGCCATTTGTGGCCTTTTGTGTTCCTGGCCCTCTGTTATATGAGGGAGCTTCATTGATGAGAATTGAAAGATGCAATAGTGTTCTCTTCACCCTCATACTATAGCCAAATACCTGAGATGAATAACTTATAAGTAGGAAGCATTTATTTTGGCTCAGAGATTTCAGACCATGGTTACTTGGCCTTGTTATTTTGGACCTGTAGTTGCGCAATGCAGGAATGACTTTTATAATAATGTGGTCGTCAAGTGGCTGCTCTCCTCCGGCTACGGACACTCTCCTGCTCTCTTAGTTCCCCTGATCAGTCATCCGGTCCGGATTCCAGGGCTGATGAGGAGACTGTGTCAGCGGAGCCACATTCAGACACAGGAGACCAGGTTCAGTGATGCAGATCTGGTTTATTGCAGGAAGGCACAAGCTTATAGTGGTCCAATCACAGCACAGCAAGTAGTTTAAAGGTGGGGTATCCAAGGGTGGTGCACAGTACAGTAAGTAGTTTAAAGGTGTGGTATCCAAGGGTGGTGATTAGGGAGTGGCGAGCTCTAGGCATTAATCTCATGATCTGCCAATGGGAGCAAAATGTCACAAGGCATTCCTTGTGGCTCCAGCAGTTGGGCCTTGCCTCAGGCCTGCTGTATGGCTGTCAATAAGACTTTCACCCTAGGCTCAAGTCTGTCTCCCACATGGACTAATGACTCTTAATTAACCCCAGCAAAACCATGTGCTCTTGAGAGACTTGTGACTTGGGCACTTGATGTTTCCTTGACAACCTCAATTTGGTACTCCAGACAATGAATGAATGTGAATGACTAAATAAATGAATGTGGATATGCTTGAGAATTAACATACGGAAGTGCTGAAAGCAAGCAAACCCATCTCCACTGCACACAATGAAGATTGGAAAGAATGATTAACCTTGGGTAGATGAGCTAGTCTAGAACTAGGGATGAAGAGGCAAGATGGTCTGTTAAGACTAGGGTGGAGCCAAGCTTGTACATCCTCAACTGAGGCCAGAGAAACCATTTTGAATAAAATTATGGGTGGGACCAGACTCAAGGAGAGTTCCAAACAGTTTCAGAGAAACAGAGTTCCATCAGCACACTTCCAGGAGATAGACAGTTCTAAGAGGTATCTAGGAGAATTAGTGTCCTAATTCCTAGTTCAGCCCACTCTTAAAAACCAAATTTAAGAATCAGGCTTTTTTGTTCGGGTAACTGTAATGTTGGCGTAGTAATGCTGCAGCACAGTACATTATGGATGGAGCAGGCAAAGGAAGTCTGTTCATCTTATAACAGCTGGAATGAAAAAGGAGAACAGAAAGGAGATGGAATATGAATGTCCCTTCCAAGGCCATGCTCCCAATGACCTGCTCCCCTCTACTGGGCATCACCTCAAGATCCCAACAGTGCCACAGACTGGTGACTAAGGCTTTCAAAAGGGACATTTTGGTGGGAACATTCAAAATTAAAGCATAGAAACATCTTCCTCAATAGCCCTGTTGCTGCAAAAGTAATGGCCTTCCTAAAACTCCAATTGTAATTTTGATTCATATTTCTCTGATTAGTGATGTTGAACACTGAACACAAATCTTTCTGTATACCTCTTGAACATTTCCAAGTTTTCTTTTAAGAACTGTCTATTTATCCTCCATAATTAACCTTTCCCCCTTTATATCACTACATTCTATCTCATGATGCCTCCCTCCATGGCCATGTACTAGTTTCCTGTCCTCCACAGATTTTTCAACTGAAACAAGAGCATCTATGGAGATTGGGCGGGCAGGGCAGAGGAGGGAGTACAGGAAGGGATAACTAAAATTAAAGGTCTTTAGAAAAGTCTATATGGGAGAGGGGAGTCAGTTACCCCTCCCACCCAATCAGTAGACCTTAGCTGCATGTGGGGGAGGGGCTAAGGATATATAAACTGGGAAGCCATGAGGCACCTCTCTAGCCATTTTGTGCGGCTGTCAGGAAGTCACAGGATTTATATTTGAGTGTGGACTTTCCAGCGCAGCCGTGAATGGGGGGGGTACACCCATCATCTGTAAATAAACCCCCCACCCTATGCTTTGTTAGCAAGCCCAATAAACTAGTTAGAATTTTCAAAAATAAAAAAGAAAGAAACGTTAACCCCATGTTGACAAATCCTTTGATCTTTGATTTGGGGTTTTGGTTTTTTTTTGGTCTTTTTGAGACAGGGTCTCCTGGTAGCCCCAGCTGGCCTGGAACTCATTATGTAGACCCTGCTGGTCTTGAACTCACAGAGATCTGCCTGGCTCTGCCTCTTAAGTGCTGGGATTGAAGACTTGTGCCACCACACCTGGTTTTGGTCTTTGATTTCTTATCCCTACGTTTCCCACCCTTAAACTTCATTGTATATATAGTTTCATGTAACCTCCTTCAAGTTATTTCTGAAAAAAATGTGTTAAAAATTGTCTCTCTTTGGAATAATAAAAATATTCTAAAAAAAAAATATCCCCAGAAAATTTTAAAAAATCTATAAAGGGGCTGAAGAGATGTTAAGAGCACTGGCTGCTCTTGCAGAGGACCCAGATTAGGTTCCCAGCATCCACATGGTAACTAACTACCACCTGCAATTCCAGTTCATCAGTTATTTGATGCCCTCTTCTGACCTCCATGGGCATTGCACAACACAGATGCACTTACATACATATAGGCAAATTACTCATAAAAATAAACCATATTTTTTGATCTTTAAAAAAAAAGGCTATATGGAAACCTATCACTATAGAAACTTCTTAAAATATATATAATAAAGAGATTAAAAGGAGTTACCCTGTAACAGAGGGAAATTGCCCCTACTAAGCAACATAGGCTAGCAAAAAAAGCTCAATGCCAGGAATGGACTTCTTTCAAAGATGCTGACCAGGAAGGTCCATACACCCTCAATACTGGCCATTGCCTCTGTTCCTGATTACCCACTAGACACTAGAACTTTACAGTAAGACTGTGTACATACTACATATATAAGTTGTAGAACAAGGAAGAAGAAATCAAGCTGGCATTGACTTTCAAGGCTTCATTTCTACTGGCTAGCTTTCATAGTGCTGGAAACTGTTATGCATGCTAATGAAGGAGAAAAGTACTCATCAACCTTGCTCAGCTGTGAATCCTGTAGCTATAATAACTACTGGCCTGGCAAGACAGGCCCACTGGTGCAATGATGCACAAAAGTTATGGGAGTAACCAACCACTTTCTGATTGGATTCAAAGTCTGCTTCACCAGATGGAGCCCATACCTAACACTAGTATCAGGCCCAGGAACCTGTGGCTAGACAGATCACAGACCGCAGGGGAAAGTCTATTATTATTCTGCAAAATAGACCTAGTATTAAATTGACTCCTAATGACTTATTGTTATGCCCACAGATTAATCCATCTCTCAATTCTAACCAGAGAAGCTTCTTCAAGCAGCAGATAGTGATTTACCCAGCGATCCACAACTGGCCAATGTACAGAGACTAAGAGGCTGTAGAGTGTTTATCCACAAATAGAACACCTATATCAAACCTCTGCCATCC